TTCACAGAACATGCTAGAAGCTCGCAGTTTTGATCTCTTAAAAAAATGATACTTCAACAAGTACTGAGGAATTCGCTTTTCAAAAGACCAAATCCAAACTGAGCAACATTCCACCCTAAAATTACTTCATTCAAATTTTGGAATAAAAGGGTCAACACATTCTCTCCTCAGCTTTTGACTTTCTATAGAAATCTCCTATGGTAACCAGGAAAAACTCATTCGAAAGCTCAGTAAACCAGTGTTCCCTTACTACTGACCGATGCAAACTGTGATCAATTTCATGCTGGGGCTGGGGATTTAGCTCAGAAGGGGCTGGGGATTTAGCTCAGCGGCATAAGCGCCTGCCTTGCAAGCAGGCAGTCGTGGGTTCGATCCCTGGTACCGGTAAAAAGGAAAAAGACCAAAAAAAAAAAAAAAAAAAAAAAAAAAAATTTCATGCCAATGATGGGTCCTTGCCACAGATGCCTCGTATAAATCCTGGTTCTCTCGCCACGTACTTGCCTCTATTCTGTCCTGGGTGGATGATTTGCGCGGTCTGGGTAGTCTCTCTTCCTTTGGTGCTGGTTTGCTGAAAGCCCAGGTAGATTTCACTGGCCAATCCTGAGGGAAAATGATTTTGAAATTTCACCGCAGTATAAAGTTAAAACAAGGAGCAAAGACTAAGACAGGTAGAAGAGTTTAATGCCAACAGCTTTAGAGTATCCAAGCTCCCGCCTGCTGGCCAGAGCTTCATTGTCTAGGGTGAGGGTGTGGCGCCTCTCTCCCATGGGCTCTGCAGGCCACGGCACCTGGGGCAGGGACAGAAGCCCCAGGCTGCGAGCTGGGCTCTGCCTGCTGTCCGTCCCTTTGTGGTCTCACCAAATGCTGCTCTAGCTGCTCTCACTCTTGGACACCTGTGCTGCCTGAGGGGTGACCTGACGCATCCCCCACTTCTGCGGTTTTCCCTCTGAGCCAGCTCCTGCCTCTCTGGCCTTAACCGGGCTTCTGCCTAGCAGCCCCTCCCTCAGCCTTCTGCTTTCTCCTCTTTGCTTTTCTTTCTCCTGCCTCCTCTTTTGCGCCTCCTTTCTAGACTTGCCTCTATTCTTTCCTCCTTTCCATCAGCTCCGCCAGCTCCAAGATGCCTCGGTGGCTTTTGCTGGAGGTTTTGGACACTGCACCCTATCAGGTCTATGCAAAGCCCTGGGCTTCTTCCGGCCAAGGAGAGGGGCTTCCCAGCTTCAGCCTTGCAGCCTGGCCCACAGGAGGCTGTCCGGCTCTGTGAGGGCTGATGTTAAATGCCGGGTGGACCGAACTGCAGTGTGCTCAGGGTCTGGGCTTAGTATTGTTCCTGGGAATGTCTGTGAAGGATTTCTGGATGGATTAATATGGAATTCGCAGACTGATTCCTGCAGACTGCAGCCTCCCCAAGACGAGAGGCTGCCCCAGTCTGCTGCAGCCTAGGAAGGTGGAGTGAGAAAGAACTCTTCCTCTCCCCTGGCTCCTGCAAGCTGGGACCTGAGTCATCTGCCCACTCAGACACACGCCACCCTACAGCGCTGGCTCTTCGAGGACTCCGCTCACCCCCTACAGATCTGGGGACCAACTCCACCTCCAAAACTGCAGTAGCCAAGTCCTTCCAGCAAGTTTTACACTACTGTATCTCTCTGCCCGTCTATCCATCAGCCATCTGTCTCTTCTATTGGTTTTGTTATCTGGAGAGACTAAACCAGCCGTGGCGAGGCGATGGCACATGTGCCTACAGAGCCCAACATCAGCACAAGAACCAAGCAGCCTGAGAAGCTGAGCATCAGATACCAGTTATTTTTTCTAAACTAAAACCTCCATACTCAGGATTAATGGCAATGTGATTACTTTGCTATAAATAAATGGTTTTGAGTTGTGGTTTGGGGACCCTGTCTCTAAAAGTTTTATTATCACTGCTTTAAACTAATTCAACACCTATTTGGCAGAGTAATGCAATTCCTAAGATTTTTATCCTAAGAAAATGTGTAATCTAAAATGTTTTTTAAGTCAGACATGACGGCTCCTGCCTGTGATTCCAGCACTTGAAGACTTAGGCAAGAAGCTGAACTTTGAATTAAGTTCAAAGTCAGCCTGGGCTGTAGCAAGAACCTATCCCAAAAAACAAACAGAAAAGTTATAAAGCAAACTATAATGCATGAAGTTATTAACCACTTTTTGATTTACAATAACAAAAAACTGGGAGCAGTACACACATTGAACAACTGAGAAGGATCTGAATAGACTCGGTACGTTCCTTTGAAAGCAAAGTGGCAACCATTGTACTAATAACTGTAAAAACTATGTAGGAATGTGGGAAAGTGTTTACACTTAGATGTAAACTTAGTGCAAAAATAGACCATAAAATAATATAAGCACTATAATTAAAAACAAATAAGAAAAAATAGTAATGATCAAGTCTGTACCCTAGGGTCATAGGATTATACATACAACTTTCAATTACTTTCTCTTACCAATATGACATTTTAAAAAATAAATAAAGGTGTTAAATGGGGTGGGCTTGTAGGAGGCAGCCCATGGAGAGGCAGGGCATAGGGAGGGGCCCCGGGGCACTGACTATGCAGGACCTACACAGCAAGGAAGGAGGTCTGAGCCCAACCCTTCCCCATGGGGATGCTGCCCTGGGAATTGCTACCTCTGTGGGAATTTTGCACTGGATACATTTAGCACTTTGAAAATGACTGTTGTTTCTCTCACCTCTGGTCTTTGAAAGAGGAGATGACTTTTCATACTGCAGTGGGGACTTTCTGTCATTCTTGTTTGTTTGTTTGTTTGTTTGTTTGTCCAGGGTCATGCTATGGAGTTCAGGCTGGCCTTGAACTCACTGTATAGTCAAGACTGGTCTTGAACTCATGGCAATCCTCCTGTCTCAGCCTCTTGAGTGCTGAGACTACAGACATCTGCCACCATGCCTGGCAGTCATTCTTCCCTCAAGACCATTACTGAAGCATCTTTGTTTGGGAAGATGCTATGGTTTATGTCTAGATGTCTCACCAAGGCCTCATAGGTGTGCTCATAGGTGGGTTTGGGGGAGGTGACTGGGCCATGGGAGTGTGGACTGGGCCACCAATGAGTTTACAGCTAAATGTGGTACTGGGCAGTGGAGCAGACGCAGAAGACAGTCACAGGGATGTGGTCTGGAAGAATCTATCTCCTTTTCTCCTCCCTTGATCCCTCTCTCTGCATCTTGCCACCATGCCATGGACTGTTTCTCCTCTGCACGACACCTTGCCTTTGAACCAAATGACTACAGACCGAAACCTCTACAAACTGTGAGCCAAATAAGCCTTTCCTCCTCAGAGCTGTGGGGGTTGGGATTTCGTCCCAACAATGAGGAATGTGATTGAGGCAGAAAGAGTGTAGATGATTATGAACCACAGCATACAGAATATCCCTTGTCATTAATGCAGTGAAACAAATCCATCTTTATCCAGAGTAAGTAGTCATGGTGTCCTGGTATTGCAGATTCACAGGGATAATGAAATTATTTGGAGCAGAGACTAAGACCAACCTTGTGGGAGGTCACCAAGATGAAACTGTTGATGAAGTCTGTGAGGGTTAGGAGACCTGCAAGATTCTCTTCCTCTGTACAGGGTACCAGAGGAGTGCACTGCACCAGGAGGTCTGAGGACTGCTTAGCAGCCATGGGAAGCCCCTGGTGATGTGAAACTTCCTCATCCTGGTGATTTGGACGTGCATTTACCTGTGATTCTCAGGACCTCTCACGATTATGGAGGCACTAAGTTGCCCTCTGTCTTCCAGTACTGCTTTTTACAGGGTTTTTACTTTTACACAATCAGTCCCATTATTTCCCACGCATGTTTGGGATACCCATTAAGCCAAGCAAATTCCAGAAGCTCTTTTCTATGAGCGTGGTCTGGGTTATCTTGTTTTATATTGCTGTTTGGAAATCCAACAGATTTATATTTTTCTTATTAATCTATGGTAATGACATGAGTGATAATTCTAAAGAAAAATAAACTTCAAAGATTGGAAGCACCTGAACTCAACTTCTGGTTAAGTCAAGGCTGCACTTGGTAGCTTGGAAGAATCATTTTGAAATCTCTGAGCTGTTTAGACACTGGTCTGTGTGACCTTAGAGCACTAGAACCCTGGGCTACACAGATTTTGACAACTTATTGCACACCTGTGCTCCTGACTCTGACCCCAGTGAGAAACACAGACTTTATTACTTCCAGGTGTTATGAGGTTGACTTACTTTATGTTTAAAAAGACTCTTTCTGATAGTTTGTGTGTCATATCTAAGAAAATAGGTCTTCGAGGTGTTTGAGGCTACAGCTGTCTGGGTGCTGGATGGGTGATGGCTTCCTTGATCTGTTCCCAGCTCCCTGGCTCATTTTATTTGTTTTTTCAGAGTTGGTTTTGAGAGTGCTCTCTTTAGGATTCTAACAGTGATGCCCACACAAAGCTGTGCAAACCTCTATAATCAGTGGAACACAATAGGGGAAATCATGACTGGCCTCAGGGAGCACTTGCACATTGGATCGAACACAAGACCAGGCCAGGCACTGTTTTTGGCCAGCACTGTTCCAACAATGGAGTACACCAAGCTGTCCATGCTGCATCCCGCTGTGAACCACCAAGCCCTGCAAGCATGTGGACTTGGGAACCGGAACCAGAAGAACTTACTATTCTGTGTATAGCTGACAATCTTTGAAGGAAGTGAGAGCTAAGTTGTCAGGGATACATGTGCATTACTACACTTTAGAAGTGTGCTGTTCACTAAGCCGGGATGCAACTTGCGGGCAATCTGGAGGGCAGAAGATCTTTGCAACGTGGCCAGCTGTTCCTCCTGCAGTGCCCCCTCTGGGGTGCACATCTCAGAGCCTGGTGCGTACAGTACTGAAGGCCTGGAAGGAGAGCATCAGCTACACAGTGGTGCAAAGAGGCATCAAACACACTTACCAGTCGTGAAAACCACAAGCTTAAGAGACGCTAAGGACAAGGCTGACCTCAAGTTTTTGTGATTAATCAAGGTAAATTTATTGTTCTCCATTGAATGTCAGTCTTGTTTGTCCTTAGATATTAAATCATTTCATATCACATAAACAAATGTTCATCTTAGAGTTTTAAAGAAAAATGTATGTAAAAGAACAGTTTAAATCCTTATCTCCAACCCACCCCTAAAAAACAAAAGGTATAAAATGAAAACAGAGAAGGAGCGGGGTTACCAGTCTCCTTAATCTGCAGGAGACTTCAGAATTTAAAAATACTCATACTCGAGTTGGGGTGGGCTTCTATGTACCTTAAAAACACCTGCACACACAAACACACACCCACACACATGTGCACATGCGCACACATATGTGCACCCATACATACCATCTGCCCCTCGAAATCCAAGTGCAAGGTGACCCTCGTGCACTGCAATGGCAAGGTCAAGTTCCCATGAGCTGGACACCGCCCTGGGGCCAGAGGGACCCAGGCTGTCAGGGTGCCCAGGGGCCGCTGCAGCTGCTGTCCTTCACGGGGTCGCAGGTGGCACCCTCCGAGCAGGACTGCTCCACCAGGCGGAAGGCCTCCAGGAACTCATTAATGTCCACGCGGCCGTCCTTGTTGAAGTCGATGCTCTGGGCCAGGTCGCAGATGCAGTCCTCGGTGCTGACAGTGCCCATGTATGAGCTGAACAGCTTCCAAGCCTGCCTGAGCTCATCCAGGGAAAGGAACCCTGGTGGGAAGGGTGTGTGCATAAGCCTCTCGCCCGCTGGGCACATTGCCCTGACCTCCCTAGGGGACATCACTCCCTGCTGCTGGACACATGCAGCCCCCAGGCCTCACGGCTTGTGTGGACCCCAAGAGGACAACAGGACACTGCTGGTCACATATGATCCTTACCGGGGCAGCTCTGTTCCACTGCCCACCTCACCGCAGGACATGCGGCAACACCTGCCGACACCGTTTACTGCCAGGAACAAGATCTGTACTGGCACCAGGGAACACAGAGGAGTGATGTGTACAACCCAATGCAAAGATGGCCGGCCCACCCCAGGATCAGTAATCCAGCCCCAAACTTCAGGAGTACCTCTTCTGAGAAGCACATGCACTAGTTTATCCTGCTTATAAAAAAATCTTTATACTTGTCATGTTGGCACAGGACCACACTCCCAACTACTAGGGAGGCTGAGGCAGGAGGACTGATTGAGCCCAGGAGATGGAGGCCAGTCTTGGCAATATAATAACCTTTGAATCCATACATGTATGGTCAGTTGATTTTTTTTTAAAGTCCTGGGGATCAAGGCCAAGAACTTATGTGTGCAAGCAAGCATTCTATCACTTAGCTGTGTTCCCAGCCCAAGATCAACTGGGAAAAAATCATTTTTTTAAAAAACAATGATGGGGGAGCTAGATATCTACATGCAGAAGAATGAAGTTGGAAAATTTACCCCATGCTAGTTACAAAAATTAACTATATCAGAATGAAAGACCCAAATGTAGAAGAAAAACTATAAAACTTCAAACACTTGTAAATATTTGTGACCTTGGTTTATGTACCCGTTTCTTAGACATGAGACCAAAAGTAACAAAAGAAAAAAAAAATACATTGGATTTTTCCAAATTAAACACTTTTGTGACTCAAAGAGACAGTTCACAAAATCAGAGAAAGGATTTGTAAAGTATGCATCTAGTATCCAAAATACATCATGATTCCTACAACTCAAATACAAAGACAACACTATTAAGAAATGAATCAAGAATTTGAATAGATTTTCTAAAGAAGATATACTTAAGATATGGCCACTAATCACATGGGAAGTAGCATTAATTAGTAGGGATAAGTGATTTAAGCTATAAAGTGATGCTTCACACCTAGCAGGATGGTCATTTTTAAAAATAAAAATAAATCGAAGCCCGAGTGGATAGGACATTCTCAACTAGAGCTCTCCCGCCCCCTGCTGGAGACGTGAGCAGGCGCAGCCACGCTGCAAAGCAGGCGCCAGTTCTGCGGAACCCTGAACTTACCCACCCCAGCTTCTGCCTCCCCTGCAGGTGCCCAAGAGAACCGAAAGTTGCGTTTTCACACAAAAAATTGTACGTGAGTATCTGTAACAAAATTGGTCATCATATCTAATGTGTAAAAATAATCCAAAGGTCTATCAACTGCCTATCAAAAATCTAAACTGATTTTATGCTCAGTCTTAAGACTGATTTTATTTTGGATGAACAAAGTGTGGTCCATCCAAGCACAAGAAAGAAATAAGGAACTAACGCTGCAGCGACGCAGATGAAACTTAAATTCACCGCGCTAAGTGAGGGGCTCCAGCTGGCTTAGCAGGGCTACGTGTAAGGGGTAGGAAAGTCCATTGAGACAGGAAGTGGTGGACAGAGCCAGAGCTAGGGAGGACCGCTAATGGGTTCAGGCCTTCTTTAGGGAGTGAGAGAGTGTCCTCAAATTAAACGGTGCTGCTGTCTCTGCAACCTAATAAATACACAGAGACACTCAACTGCACGCTTTGAGTGGGTGAATTACGTAATATGTGAATTAGACCTTCACAAAATCAGGAGATCGAAAAACAGCTTTGGACGACAGGGGTAACAGGAAACGGCTTATAGTCCCTTGGTATATTTTTTATAACTTCCGGTGAATCTATACCATTGCAGAATTTAAAGCTTGCTTTTAAATTTTGGGAGTGAGGTTGCAAAGCCTTTCTGCTCTCCACCCCTCGTCATTTTGGTGCAATCTTCGATGGACCCATAAAGGTCAGCACATCTAATGAGATGCTGTCCCCCAAACTAACTATCCTCCCGCCTGTCTTTCTGCTTCTCCACGCCCTGCCTTTCTGAGCAGGCTTCCTTTTGCGGTTGTTGCTGTTGTTTTTGAGACATAGTCTCACTGTCTTGTCCAAGGTGGCCCTAAGTGCTGGGCTTATGGGCTCCTTCTGCCTCAGCCTCCAGAGTAGCCACTCAAGTGCCTTGATTGCTTAAGTGCTTTTTAATGTGTGCCACTAAAACACTGCTTTCCTTGCCCCGGTGTGTTTGGGTGGAGAGGAGCACAGGGAAGAAGACCAAAGGTTCAGTGTGAAACAGTTCTTTACCTGAGTGATCACTGTCTATGATCCTAAAGATGGTCTCCAGGTTGGATCTGTTCCGGTACAGAGTTTCTAGCAAACTCGACTGGATGTTCTAGAAGAAAGAAGCTCATTTTCCTTTTATGTTTAGTCTTATGTTCAGCCTCGGGTGAAGCGCCGAATCAACTGTACAAATGCCACCAGCTCGGCACCCAGGGAGAAACGGAGTCTGCTGTGAACGCACCCACACGGCTTCTCTTGTTCTCAGTTAATGCACACAACGGTGTGACAGCTCTACACTCAGGGTGCACATTGCCCTAGGTACTGCGGGAAACCAGGGTGGTTCAGGGTACTGGATGATGTAAGGTACCCAGATGATGCAGGGTACCCTGGAGGGTGTAGGGGACCCAGATGATGTAAGGTATCTGGATGATGTAGGGTACCCCCAGAAGGTGTAAGGTACCCGGATGATGCAGGGTATCCTGGAGTGTGCTTGGGTTACAAGGAAATGCTGCACCATTTCATGTGGAGGGTCTGAGTGGCTACAGATCGCTGTTTCTGCAGGGGGTCCAGAACAGGTCCTCCCCTCTGGCCCAAGGGATGCATACATGTTAACAACCACTGAACTGCAGACTCTGTGTGGATAGATTTCACGTGTGGGAAGTATATTGCAGCAAAGTTGCTTTCAACTTTACTCCTGGGTTTCATGGAGGTTGTTAGTATTTACTGCCCGGATGCTTTATAAATAGGGTGCACAGCACCATGGTGCAGAATGAAACAGCCCTCGCATCGCCAGGACCTGAGTGTGCTTGGCTATGCCGAGGTGCTGGGCTGAGCCCAGGCCCAGGCGCGAAGCAGGGCTGTGGCCCAGCCAGACCGCAGTGGGAAGCCTGGCTTAGAAGGTGGCCCAGCAAGGCCCCTCACTGTGCGGGCTCCCGGGTCTCAGGGTGGCATCGATGCCTGTCTGCTTGCGGTTACCCGAGGCAAGGTTGGGAAGTCAGGCCAGGAATAGACACACGGGAAGCCACAGATGGTTCCTGTCTAGGTGTCTTCCCAAAAGAGCAAAAGACGTCAAGTTACAGGGATCCATGCACACACGTGTTCATAGGAGCGTAAACTCACGAGAGCTAAATCTCAGAAGCAGCATGTGTGTCCATCAGCAGATGGATAAAGAAACTATGGTGTTTACCCACAGGATGACTATTCTGCCGTGAAGAATAAACTTAGATCTTTTGTGGGAGGATGGATGCACCTCGAGACCATAATGTTAAATGAAATAAATCCGACATAATAAGCTTAAGTATCACATGGCTTCTGTTATATACGAACCCGAAGTGTGAATAAGTTAAAAAGTAAAATAAAAGGTAACAGGAAATGGTGATGGATCTTTTGCACATGGAAGGAGACCAAGAGATGGAAGGAGCTGAAGTGAGGGCAGGGAAGAGGAGGTGAAAAGATTTAAAATGCATTATGGGCCTGAGCCAACTCCCCACAAGGAGAGTGACCATTAAGTACCGCAAACACAGGCTAAGGAAAAGAAAAAGGAAGAAAGCCAGAAAGAGCCATCCTGGGGTCCCCAGCACTTTCTGGCTCCTGGGTAGAGCTGTCTCTGCTCGAGGCACTCAGCAACAGCCCGGAGCACACTCTGCCCGGCTCACCTCAGGGCTGGGCCGGTCCTTGGCCTGGTCCTTCAGCCAGGCCGAGTAGTCCAGAGCGCTGCCCACACTGCCATTCACCAGCTGCGGCCTCAGCACCCACCACGGCAGCCCCAGGTGCAGCACGGCCTCCAGAGCCGCTGCCCAGTCGCTCCAGCTGATCACACCTGCGGGTAGGCCCCAGTGTCTGTCCACCGCTTATAGCTCTAGTCTCCCCTCCTCCATCAAATACACATGCTATCTTGACAGATGCTAGGAAGCATGGGCATGAAGGCAGATGTGGGGGGGTACACCTGTGATCCCTGCACTTGAGCAGCTGAAGTACGAGAATCACTTCAAGTTCAAGGTCAGCCTGGGCTTATAATGCAAGACCTTGTATCAGTAAACCAATAATAATAATAATACAATAACACTGGGCACAGTGGCACAAGCCTGTAAACTCAGAACTCAGGAGTCTGAGGCAGGAGGATCTCAGTGAGTTTGAGGGCAGCCTGGGCTACAAAGTGAGTTCAAAGCCAACCTGAACTGCTCAATGAGACCCTGTCTCAAAAAACAAAATAAAACAAATATAATAGTAATCATGGACATTATCATAATGTTTGTTGATCATGGCAAAGCCAGCTGGAAACAGCCCTGGCAAATAAAACACAAGATGACTACTTAACATGAACTTGAGACAGATAATGAAGTATACTATTTTCCAAATAGTATATAAAAGCATTTGTTGTCTGTCTGTAATTCAGATTTAATCAGACATCTGTTTTTTTATTATACTTAATTCAAAAGCACATAAGATTCTTATAAATAAGATCATAAAATATACATATGTTAGACAGCATTAGTTGCTTTACAAGAAAACCCACATTCCTGAGATTGCATTACTCACTGGGTCACTGGGAAGCTTACAACGTGTGTCCTGGGAAGGATGCCACTATGAACCTATAAATATCACTACTACTGTTGATAGGGCCAAAGTTCTTCAGACATTTCATTGAGTGTTCTGGGGGTGTCCCCCACCCCTGCCAGGAGTTGCGCTGGAACTCAGGGGCACTCCACCACTGAGCTACAAACCCAGTCCTTTTTTATTTTAAGACAAGGTCTTATCCAGTTTCCTAGGTTGGCTTCCAATTTGAGATCCTTCTGCTTCAGTCTCTCAAGTAGCCAGGGTTATAGATGTGCACTACCATGCCTGGCAAAAGAGCAAGTTTTAGCAGGTGAAATCGAATCTGGAGCAGTTCGGGACACACCCAAAGGTGGGGAAGCCATGCTGTTGCATTGGCTGTCTGAAACACTCTCTCCTGTGACTTTCTTCACTCATTCTCACTTAGCTCCTTTGCCCTCCTCCACATCCATCCGTACTTGGCCAAGCTTATGTTCTGTTAAAAATTTAGAATATCAAGATTTGGGGAAGGATACATGAGAACTCCAGGGAGCAGGATGGGTGAAGTAGTCAGAGGTTTTTGTTAATTAACGAACATTTCTTTCTCTCCTAACTGCCCAGCGTGAGCGAGGTTCTGGCTCAGTCCCTTCTCCTGACCCCTTTCCTCCATCCTTACCAGTTTGGCTCCTGTCATACTTCCTGAATTCCCGCAGGAGGTCTGAAGAGTGGGCAAACAGCTTCTCCCTCAGCGCTCTCAGCGCCGACTGCCGACTGCTCCGCTCTGCTGACCCTGGGCCTGGAGAGGAGAGGGTGCGGGAGAGGTTGGTGAGCAGCCGTGGGCTTCAGGCTTCACAACATTCCTGATTTCTCTTAACAGCTCTTAGTGCTTCTCCTAACGTCCTGGAGAGCTCAGTCTTGTTTTGTTGGGGTTTTGTTCTGGTGGACTGGGGATTGAATCCAGAGCCTTCACACTGAGCTCCACCCCTGCCTTTGCTTTTTTATCTTTTATTTTAAGACAGAGACTTGCAAAGTCATTAAGCTGCCATGGTGGGCTGGAACCTGTGAGCCCCCAGCCATGAGCCCAGTTTGTGAGGGCTAGGCTCCAGCCCTTCTCTCTCCCTACTGCCACCCTGCCTTTCCCTGGTGTCACAGGCAGGCCTGGTACTTGAGTGAGTAGCACGCGTGTGCAGGGCTGGTCTGCGTGGTGTCTGCAGGGGCAGAGTGAGGCTCCCTTCTCTGGCCCTGCTGCCCTGGTTCCAGCTCCTGTCTGGCCCACTGCCTGCTCCCCAGTCAGCCTTCCCAGGATAGAACAGTGACTAGATCAGTCTTGGAGAAAGATCACACCTTTGGTAAAGATGTCTAACCAGCCTGTGCCTCAAAGCCTGCAACTGCTAAAGGGGGGTGATTGGCATTGATCAAGTCAGAACGCTGCTCACTAGAAGTGAGCAAATATAGGTCTGGCAGTGAGCAAAAGACTTGCACACAGAACACACACAGCACTGAGATTCTTTGTCAGAACCTCATGCATGTGTTACATCTTACTATGATGGTAAGGGTTTGAGGCTGTTATGGTTGATACATTGTGTCAACTTGAGAAGTTTAACTGAGAGACTCAGCAAGGAGCCAGGGTTCTTACTCTGTTAATATCCTCATCCTGTGCAAGAAGAGGGCAAGTAGATTTTCTGAGTGCTACACCTGTCCTGGAGGACGGGGTGGCCCGTGTACAATACAAGAGAGGAGAAGAAACTTGTTCCTCCCTTTTTGTCCTGGCTGCTTTTGCTGTCTGCTGCCTTGAAAGATTGCCCCTGTGGGCACCCTGCTTTGGAGCCAGCTAATTATGGGCTGAAACCTCCAAAAACTAAATAAAACTTTCCTTTCCTAATCTTGGATATCAGGTATTTTGTCTCAGCAACGAGAGAAAAGTAACCAAGGCAAAGCAAGATTTATGAGTAAGAAACAACACTAATTTACTTTCCCATTCTTATGGGAAAGTGACATGAGGCATATTGCTCTGCCCAACAGAAGTGCTCAATATATGTCCAAAGTTGAATGAACAAGAGTGTAAGAAGAAATAAAAGGTCAGGCAAAGTGCTCCCATTGCTTGCATGAACAGCTATGTGTGGCGAGGGTGACGGTGTCCTAAGAAGCCACCCATGGATGAGGCCATCCGTTCCCAGCCCCCAGCCACACCTGCTCCACCACTGCAGATTCCTAATCCTTCAACAACATGGTCCTCAGCATCCCCTGGGCAGCTGGGGCCTGGACAGGGGGATGCACTGCTTCCAGGAGCAGAGATCTGAGCAAGAAGTAATGGCTGAGGAGCAACAGTCCTCTCAGGACAGCATGTCAGAGCTCACGGAACTGGAACCTGACTGCAGCTCCCATGTTTCTCTGGACTTCAGACAGTGTGTACCCTGGAGAAGGGACTTCTGGGAGAACTGGGTGCTGCTGTGCTTACTTAGTGCAATGAGTGAATCTTTCAAAAAACACTACTTACAGGACTCCCCACATGGCTGCCTTTGTAGGAGGACACCTGAGTCCCCAGCGGGAGGATCTGGTTCAGCAGGGCCAGGGGACCATCAGTTGCTGGCTTTTATAAAGCTCTATGTAGCAAAATCTCTTGTGGTGAGTTTACACTTTTTTTTTAAATAGGTACCAGGGATCGAACTCATGACTGCTTGCTTGCAAGGCAGGCATTTTGCCACTGGGCTAAATCCCCAGCCCCAGTTTATACTTTTTTGGTAACACTTCTTTCTGAGTAAATCTGCCCTGTAGTCAGTAACTCAAGATGATTTAAAATAATCCACTTTTACAGCACTTGCGCAGGGCAAATGTTAATACTAACGTGTTCTCTATCCACTTATTTGGATCTGACGTTGTATACTTTGATTTTTAACTTGGGAGGCTGGATAGTTAAGATGCTTACTCAGCAATCTACATCTCCAAGCTTATATGACCGGGGTGCCATCCTCCAAAAGTGATGATATCGGGCTGACATTCAACACCCAGGTCTGAATAAGGTCGTGAGTGCCAAGCCTGCCAACTCCACTACTGACTGACTGTGCAGCCATGGGCCGGCTGCTGCATTCTCTGTGCCTAGAGACCTTATCTATCAGCCTGAAATCAGCCACGATGTATGTCTCACACGAGCCTTGTGAGACGGTAAACACAGATGACCGCCTTACAACACTGGGCAGTTCTCCTAAAGTTAAAACTCAAAATGGTCTCAACATTTAAATATCACTATGCTCTTTCCTCCCCCCAAAAAAGGGGCCCTCTTTAATAGATGCATGCTCCAAAATCCATTGCAAGCCCCCAGATAGTGAGAGGACCTTTGGCTGTGGCTTCTGGGGCTGCCACAATCCTTTGCAGATAAGAGAAAACAGGAGAATCTTAGACTCATACATGGACTTCCCCTGCGAGGTCCTCACTGAGACTCCTGCTCACACGGGTAAGGAGTGGAGCTGAGAGTGTAGAAGAAGGAAGCGGTGCGGGGAAGAGGGTTTGCGTGGAAGCCTGCGCCTCTTCTGTCCCCTGAAGGCATGGTTCTCAGAAGGGGCCCGGGACTTTTGAAAAAAGAGAGTTACACAAGGTCCTCAGGTCCAGGAAGAGTGTGCCCACTGAGACCCAGTGTCCCCTGAGAAGTTGATGTGAAATGAGTGGCGTGGCAACCCCTCTGAACCCCATTTCCTGTCTCAAAATGTTTTCTTTCCCGCTCACACTCTGGGGTCCCCACCAGCAGTGGAACTAATGGGGCGACCGAGTCCTGACTGCCTAGCCTCTAGTGCTGTGTGCTCGGGAAGGCTCTTTCCTTTGTAAGTAACTTGTCTTACAACAACAGATTGCTGAAAGGCATCTACCATGTCCAGTCTGGACTTTAACGCCGACTCGGCCACATTCTGAATTCTCACATAGAATTGATATCTGAAGCCTCGATATTTTTTATAAACAATGCAACATTTTCCTGAAAGCCAGTCATTGTAAAGTCTTGCCTTTGCTGCAAGGTGAGTGTGTGGGTGGCCTTGGTGGCTTGATACTGCACGATGTGTGGAGTCAGGGCTGGCCCCAGTTTGACGTAGGCCCCTCTGTTACTGCCAACTTCGTAGTAGTTAGAGGCAGAAAAGATGGTCAGCACCTGGGTCCAACAGAAAAGAGGCAGCATTTACGCTCCTTGAAGAGCCCCGGCCTCCAGCCCCCCGCGGCCCTGACCTTTGTCAGGTCTGCTGCCCACCCTTACACTAATCTGTGAGTCTTTTTCTTTTCTTTCTTTTTAAAGTTTGAAGTCATCCATGTCACAAGAGCAGGAGTTGCTGGTTTGAACCTTAGGCACCCAAATCCTGATAGGACATTCATAACATGTTTTCACATTCTGACCCCAAATAAGAAAGGCAGGGGTGACGGAAAGCACCTCTTGTGTTCCTCTTAGCAGTGGGCAGCTGAGAACTGTCTCAGAGCAGGGTTCCCTACCGAGTCGTTGCCTCCTGAGGTTTCTGGGGAAAGAGGTTTCCAGGGTCAATAGATTATTTGTCCCAACGCTTTTTTTTAAATTTCCCATGGAAACCTGTTTTTCTGCTATAAAATTAGTATTTCTAGGCATACAGAATCCCATCGCAGGAGCATGAAGCTAGGCAAATGTTACAGCATTTGGGCACACCCAGAGATCATTCCTGACACTAATTATACTCCAGAGACGACAAGAAACGCTGAGCTCCTGCTGGACGGGACAGAAATCAGTCCAGTATCATGGCATTTAAATGTGAAAGCCACTGATTTAAGGACAGAGATGCAATCAGTTTGGGAAAACATCGGCCCCGTTTCAGTCCTGAGGCTGGGGCGGCAGACTGATGACTTCAGTCAAACCGTGAATTTTGGAGAGGCTTGAGAAGCTGGGGGTGAGTGATAGAGAGCACTGTGATACTGTGGTGGGTGGGTCACAAACACATGTCCCAGCCCATTGGTAACAACCTGGAGGCTCAGCTCAGCCAGACACCTGTGCGCCCACCGCAGGGACTTGAGGGCTGCCCACCTTGCGGTTGTGGCAGAATTCATAGCCTTCAGGCTTGCACTCGTGGGATCGGATCAGGAGCTGCAGGCTGTATTTCTGCAGAAACTGCTCAGTCACGTCAGGCCCAAAGTAACAGCCCCCTCCACGGACAGTGTTGGCCTTGCAGCCCTCCTGCAGCATGGGGTCACTCCACAGGATGTCCACCACCTGGGGGACCAAGAGACAGACACCAGGTCATTCTCAGTCATCCACGGTGGAAGGACAGGAGGAGCAGGAGGAAGAGGAGGAAGAGGAGGCAGAGGAAAATATATGAAAAAAAATATGTGAATAAATTTCCATGCAGTCAAGTTCGGCATACATTTATATGTGGGGCCCCAAAGTTTCCGGAATCTTATTATTCACAAAATGAGTGCAGGTGGGTGTATATTAGTTGCTGAGTATACACTGCTTTCTGGAAAACAGATCTCAGGTGCAAGGTCAGTGTGGGAAGAGATGAATCTGCTCTGGATGCAGCTCTGGCCTCAGCCAGCAATGCTGAGCTGGCGTCAGTGCCCAGGCTCCCGAGCACTTTGCAAAGAGCAGATAGATGCCCTTAGGGCAGGCAGGTGAGCATCATACCCAATGGGGTCCTGACAAAGTGCATCAACATTTTAGTTCTGGAGGTAATCTTAAGAATTTTGAAAAGAATTTGCAGAAGAGCTGAGCAATCTCCAGCAGCCTAGACTCTGCATGTTCTGATACCCAGGGAAGTGCTGGTTGCTGATTTCATATAGCTCAAATGAAATAACTGAGCTTATTGTGATTGGTGACACTGATACTCTCGGAATGTCCTGCGTTTGATTTATGAATATCAACGTGTTATTATTGAGTCATGTTTTGCAAAAGGAGAGACCTATATTTTAAAATTTTGATTCTAAGGGTGTTGAAGCCCAGATCAATTTTTGGGAGCATGAAACCTAAGCTCTGTCTCTGTCCCTGTCTCTCTGTCTCTGTCTGTCTGTTTCCTTCTCTCTCTCTCTCTCTCTCTCTCTCTCTCTCTCTCTCCTCCCTCCCCATCTCTCTCAGCTTCTAGCTCGTAAGCAGCTTCAATTGCTCCTTCTCATCACCCTCTCCACCCAGTCAACACCTACTTCTGCTGCATTTAATTTTTTAAAATATCTGCATTCTCTCTACTGGATGAACCAGTAGGTCACACAGAATTGACTCCCAGTGAGTTCGTGGTGTTCTCTAAATCATGGCGGAGACCACCTACACTCTGCTCTGGTTCCCTGTAACAGTTCTTCTTGGGGCCTCCCTGCCACTGTCCTGCCCCATTGCTTGGCCCAGCCATGGCTCCCACCTGGCTGCCAGAGTCGTCTGCTGACACGCACCATGCCAAGTGAGGACGACCTCCCCCATCTGTCCTCTGTCTTCTTCCTCACTAACACAGTGACTGTGCTGAGGGCAGCAGTGTTCAGGAGGTAATCTCATCACACTTTTCCATTTCCCTTTCAGCTCAGGGTGGCCATGTGACACAGAACTCTGGGAAAACTCTTAGTTGCCTGGTAACAGAGGACAGCCGCTCCCAGGGCCCTGCGCCACAGCAGCTCCTGTGTAGGGACAGACCCAGCCTGCAGTGGCACCCAGTGGCTAGTTCTTCTTCCCCAAGAGGTGCCAAGCCACCAACCATGGATCCCCTCTGCTAAGCCAACTGCCACCCCCTCCCATCCTTTATAAACCTCTACAACGTGGCATGTAGTATACAAACACTGCTGTTCACTTGGGTGTCCTAACCTCAGAGCGTGTGCCCGGAATGCATGTGGAAGGAGAAGCTATGTCTGTGGCTTGCCATCCCGATCCCTCTCCCACACATGACACCTGGTTCCAGGCAGCAACCTGGCCACCACCCACCTGTTGCCACTCCTCCTGGGTGGGCCCTTGCAGCTCTCCATCATCCAGGGCCTCCTCGGGGGCTGCAGGCGAGGGTTCCTTCTGCTCCTGGATGCTAGGGGAGCCCGCTTGCTGCCAGCCCGGGTCCAGTTCTAAATTCACAGAGCGCCGTCCCCTCAGGGACAGCTCCCGGGGGTCCAGGGGGACACTGCAGGGGACGCTGCAGGACCGGCCAGTCCTGTAGGTCCTGCTGTCTGGGCCAGCATGGAGCAGTGAGGAGGGGAGTGAGCGGCTCTGGGGCAGGAACCAGGGTATGGGTCTCTGCGGGGGACACGGTGCAGCACTGGGCAGGCGGGGCCCCTCTGCTGGCCTCTTGGGCTCCCTGGGCGTCGGCCACCTCATAGTGGAGACAATCTAAACATGTCCAGAGCAGAGACAGGGCTGAGAGGACACTGCAGCACTTTGTAAAGATCAAGGTGGCCTCCAGAACAGTCTCAGGCCTGGTGACCCCCGAGCACGGTCTGTGCACCATAGGCTCTGGCCTTGTCAGGCAGGGGCAGACCCAGAGAAAAGCCTGACACAGCCACAGCACTTCAACATCACTGTCACATGCCAACCATTGGGGGAAACTTCACCTTATTTCAGTAACATTTCATCTTTATTGTATTTTCCAAACGGCTTGGTATTTCCAAACCAGAAATTTACAACTGGTCCTTCCTCCCCAGGACTATAGTATAAGATACACCAAGCTGGTTCATTGTCTCTCCCTGGGGGCCCAGTGGTGTCAGACAAGGAGAGGAGCACATTGCTCTCAGAAAGGCTGCCTGCCGACTGTTCCTGTCACCCCACAGATGCCAGAGCAGAGAAAAAAGTGGCTACCGTGGTACGGTCTGTGGTTTATTTCCCTAGAACCCCAGTTGCCTGTGTTCACTGTGGTCAGAACAAATGTAGGGGAGTTCTGGAAGTAAACAGCTCATGGGCTTCAAGTTGTATGCTGCCAAGGAGCATGGTGAGATCTCACGCTAATCCCTCGCCACCCCCTTGGACACAAGTCTGATGCATCCAAGCTGTGTGCATCGCCTTCCCCGCTGATCTGGGCCATCAGATGGACTCCCGTGGTGTCACAGGGTTCGGTTGAAGGGACCCTGGTTCTGCTTAGCTGTGTTTGCAAAACAAAAGAGCTGTGATGTGAGCCAGACCCAGGGCACAGCACACAGAAGGCCAATTAGCTGGGTAGCCCTGCTGCCGGGAACCTGGGGAAGCCTGGGAGAGGCAGGCTTGGTTCTGTGGCCTCGAGCATCCACAGAGCCTCAGACAGATACCAGCGGGCAAGGGAGCCACAGCATACGCTTGGAGATGGGTGACAGAGACAGTTCTGTGGGAAGGGAGCCCCCGAGCACAGCCATGTATGGGAGAGGAGAGATTCCTGCAGCCTGGGCCTTCCTGTAGGCAGGAAGGAGCTGAGCAGGGTCTTCTCTCTGACTCCAGTCACCATGGCACTGGGACCCAGAGGAGGACAGAGGGGACACATGCAGAAGGAAAGGCAGGCTCCGGCCACAGAGCCACACGTGGCATTGAGCGGAAGGCGAAAGTGGGTCTCCCTGGTGTGCTTGGGTACCAAGGTGGACACCATGAGAGATGATCTCCAAAGGACATCAATGACAAAGGTCTAGTCCTATGATGGCAAATCTAATAGAGCTTTCAGTGACACAGTCACTGCCATGCATGCCGTGGTCCAGTCCATAGAGGGGGTCTGGGGGCACATTGAGTGAAAGAGCACTTTCTGCAAGCAGATCTAAAAGTGGTGACATCAGAAAGTCCCTTCTCACTGTGGACAGGCCCAGGGTGAGCACACAGAGGAGGGCGAGCAGAAGGAGCCCACTGAGGAGGACAGGGCCTCCTGTGACAGTCGGAAAACCACTCTGCAGAAATGCAGGCTTGCACAGGGAGAGGACAGTCAGGCCACACCCACAATCTCACCACCTACCCTTCCCAAGGGCCAGCACTTCTGATCCTGTGTAACACTGGGTGTCACGATCTGGGCCGAGAAGCATCTGTGACTCTCATTCTTAACAAAGCTAGGAGGACCCTGCATGTGGAGACCTTTCGGGCACTTCATGTAAACGCACTGACCAACCTTCCTGCTGGCCTCAGGAGGCAGCATCGTTGTTTCTGCTCCAGATGAGAAGACTAAGACCCAGGGGCCCTAAGGCTCTTCCAAGACTGAATCTGGACCCTTGCTCTGGGCCCTGCCATCTCTGTCTTTCTTCCCAGGGATCCCTGGATCATATGGGTGGCTGCATTGCTTCCTCTCCAGAACTTGTGGCCACACATTAGGGAGTTGCTTTCGGTGCTGCTTCCCTAAATGCCCCTGCTTCAGTGCTCTCACAGTCCTAAGATCCCTAAGGTCCCTATGGTTGGCAAAGCATATGGACTGAAGTCTACTAAAAACTACCAAGATATGAGAGGTTGGGGAGCTAACAACAAATTACATGTTGGGCACTTGCAGAATATAACAAGGGAAAAATCAAGAGCTGGTGGGAGGCCTTGGCCCCATGCTCATCCAGAATCTTCAAGGGCTGAGTACATGGACATAGACAGGGGTTTGGTGATGAAGATTTGGGGCCGCCTATTGAGTGCTGAGCCCTTCCTCCTTCTACCTCTGCTAGAGTTATCCTCCCTCTCTGTGACTGCTGAGTTTTGGAGTTACGCAGACATGAGTTGTCTTCCAGCTACCAAGTGACAAGAAGCCATGTCTAGACCTAGGAAACAGGACCTCCATCCAGAAACCGTGGACCTTCAAAGTGGAAGCAATTACAGGCCAAGCCTGGAGTGGACAGGAGTCTCCCTCGCACGCATGAGCCTGGCGCAGTGTGGGAAGTGTGTGCACAGAAACTTGGGGAACCAAAGGGACAATCTGATATGTTGACACCCTGATTTATATATGAACAGCTATCTCTCTTGCTTTCTTAGTGACAGAACCCCTGATCTTTCTGGGGCACATCACTGCTGACACACAGACTGTGCAGAGGTGCAGTGGTTCGGGGGCTCTCATAGAGGTGGCAAAGCCAGCGCCCTGAGCAGGTGACACTAATCCATCCACCCACTGTGGGCTCTCCTCTACCCTTCTCCCGCCTCTCATCAGGCTCTGGGACTCAGCAGGCAGGAGGTATTTGCTTATGTTGGCAGTGAAGACAAAGGTAAGATTTGCATTGTTTCATTCCTCCATACCTTGTGTCTGTCTAATTTAGCCAAAAGCTCCAGGTCAGTCCTGTCCGACACTCCACCATGAAGAATCAGGACTTTCTCGTCAACTAGCGTGGCCAACGGAAGCCAGCAGAACACATCCTGAAACATCTTAATATTTTCTTGCCATGTATCTGAAAGCATGATAGTAATAAGATAGTGGGTTTCCAGTAACGTACTCGATTTCTTTCATCTAAGAGAAACTTCTGCTAAAAGCAGCATAGTAGCCAGACATGGTGGTGTGCATCTATAATCTGAGCACTCAGGACCTGAGGCAGGAGGATCACTGTGAGGTTAAGGCCATCTTGGGCTACATAGCAAGACTCCATCTCAACCCTCCCCACCAAAAGAACCATAATAAAAGCTTCCTACTTTGTATTTACGCATCACTTCCTTGGTGAAACCATATCTAGGCATAGAAGCAAAAGTGGGTATTAAAATAAACAGTATAAATTGCATATTTTATACACATGTACTGAAATTATTGAGAAAGAGACTAAGCCATAATTAACAAAATATTTACAATTACAACGTTGTCTCTGAGTAGAGAAATTATGAGATATAATTATCTTCTTTTCATTTATCTGAATTTTGTACTTTTTCTAGGGTAGATCCTTATTTACATGCTAAGGAATATGCATATGGAAAGCCTTCCTATAGAGTAGAATAATTTGTCAAATTTTTAAAATCTTTAAAAATCTTGTATACTATGTATTCTACTTTCAGAAAATAGAAAACTACTTTTAAATATCAAGAAACTCTAGCAAAAAAAATTATTTTAGAATAGGCACAAGCAGGCATGAAGTGCCCAGCCGGCCTGGGCTTGTACCGTACCGCAGGTTCACCATGTGGTCCTCATGGTTCCCTCGGTTCAGATGGAACTTTTTGGGGTAAACCAGCATGAAGGCGAATAGAACCATCAGGATCTCCACTGAGTCCTGGCCTCGGTCCACGAAGTCACCGTTGAACACGTACGCCCGCTCTGGCGACGGGAGGCCATTCTTCCCGACACAGGACAATGGGGAGGCCAGTGGGGAGAGGGAAAGCAGGTTAAAGCAATGGCCTCAGAGCCCCAGGCAGCCTGCATCAAGGCTATGTTCTCCGGGTCTCCTGCCAGTGACAGGTTCACCAGGCAGAGTGACCCTTGTCAGAACAGATCATGTCAAGCCGGAATGTAGCCACAAGTGTGGACATGGGTGTTAGGTGGAGAGGCAGAGACCAGTTTTCAGTTCTGGCTGCATTAAAACATGAACAATAATAATAATTCCCATCACAGAGTCCTCAGGATTAAACAAGAAAATACATGGAAAAGTGCTTCGGGAGGTATAGCCTGTGTACCTAGTAATACCACATAAAAACACTGCGATCCACACGGCTGTTCTACAGTCTGCATTTTATTGCTAGACATAGATACGAAAATAGGTTTTGGCTGCTTCGTTAATAAGCAAGATTCTTTATCTAGAAAAAGGAAAGTTGCTGAATGAGGCCTCTTTCTCCTTGTTAACATTTCCTATTTGTTAAACAGTATAGCAGAAAATGTAGTTGAATAAAATACAATGCTTTTATACCATGTGTTTATTGCAGAGAAGCCAGTAGTTTAAAAAAAATAATAGTCCCAAGATTGTAGCACTATTTAAGTGTGTGTTCACTACATTGTTTCCAAACCGAGCTTCCAAACCGAGCCTCCCGGAGAGGAAGTTGGTGCGAGTGTTCCTACCTTGTAGAATATGAATATTAAGTCGTCCAGCTGGCCGTGCAAGTCTCCTGAGGAAGGGAAAGAGCATCAGTGCTGCTCAGTCCTTACTCTTCTAATTTTTACCACAAAGAGGAAAACACTGCACCAAGAAAAGCTGATGAGGAATGGGCTGTTCCTGATTTCCCACTTGTCACAAAGGGATGCTTGCTAACTCACCCTCACGTGGTCATCATAAAGAACAAGGGACCTGCCTTTTTAGCAGCGATAGACAGAACGAGAGGGCTCCATAGTGGTTTTAAGGGGCCAGCATTAGGCAAGATTTCTACAGAAGCTGTGAACCCTAGATTGGGATATGGAACCCTCTGGTTGCCGAGTGTTGGGATATCCGATCTGAGATCTGAGCTCACAGAGGACACACTGGACTCGGGTGGGCTGCAGGCAGCCCTTGTGGCCCTGAGCTGTGTGTGGGCCTCTGTCCATGTACACAGACGTTGGCCATCTATGAAGACACAAGGACAGGGGATGCAGCTGGGAAACGGACTGCTCTGGAGGGGACCATGTATAGCTGGGGCTTGCTCAATGCTGATAGGCAAACTGGAATCCACTGGAGAGGACCCGGCATGCAGTGCAGCTGGGGTGTGAGCTCAGAGTCCAGGCAGAAAGGCGAGCTGAACATGCCTTCTCCTTGAACCCTCCGTCACCCAGTGCAGGGCACAGGGTGGCAACCAGCTGGAAGCACTGGGGCTTGACTTGCCCGCCCCCTTCCTGTCCGCCCTCCAAACCAGAACCTCCAGCTGCTGCCGCTCTTACCACACACTGTGAGCTCCTCACTGTAGCAGCTTGACATCCGGGTGATGTTTGGTAGCTGCGCCAGGTGCCTCTGGGTCTCATGCAGGAGATGCAGGACGTAGTGAGCATGCAGCTGCTGCTGGGAGGGAGGTGGGGGCCTCAGGACACTGACAGCCGCCAAACTGCTCCGTGACCTCGAAGGACCGTCTGGGTCTGAGTTCCCACACGGGGAAGAGGAAGGCTCACAACCTGACCCGGAGCCCAAACCTGATGGCTTCTAGTGCCTCTGCCTCTGGGCAGCCTTTCCACTCCTTCCTCCCTGTGCCTGCATCGTTAAGGCAGAGGCCTTGCCTGTATGCGCTAGTCAGTGTTTCTCATGGCACAGGAGACTGAGTCCAAGGCCTTCGCCCTCAGCTAGGTCCGCAGCTGTGTTTTATTTTGTTTTGTTTTGTTTTTGAGACAGGGTCCTGCTATGTCACTAAATTGTTCGAGCTGGCCTCAAACTTGGAATCCTCTTGCTTCAGCCTCACAGAGTACTGGGATCACAGGCAGGCACCACTACATCTGGCTAATACTCTGTCTTAACGTGGTAACCAGAATGATGATTTTCAAAGCAAGCCAGTTCGCACCATCCCTTCACTCAATGTCCAGGGTCTCCTCATGTCATTCGGGAACATAAGTCCCCCTGTAGTCTTCCCAGCTCCCTGCTTACAGTTACAGGGGTTCCGGCTTCCCCTGCTGGAACTGCCCAGCGGAATCCCGCACCAGCTCTTCCCACTTGCTCCCAAACACCCACATGGCCTGGCCTCAGCACCACAGTCCTGCACTCAGAAAGCACTTTCCAGCCTCTGCCTCCCAGCTTCTCCCCAAGCCTGGCGCACCTCCTGGGCTCTGGTTTGCTGTCACTGTCTCCTGTCTGCCTACCTTCCTAAGTGTTGGCTCCAGACAGGGACCCTCAGGCTATGTCTCTGCCCCCGGAATGCACAGGGAGACATCAGGGCTGAGGACCTGCTGAGGCCCAGGCTGAAAAGGAGGGGCCCTGTCTCTATAGTTAACATAGTTTGGGCCTGCGCCGGGCTGTTGCACCCAAGCTCACTTGTTTAAGCCTAAAAGCTTCCACCAGGGCAGTGGCGTGGCCAGGAAGCAGCGGGAAGGACAGGCGTGGCCCTGTGTAGTTGGCAGGCACCTCTATGGCTTTATAATCACTGCAGGTATCCAGCTCCGAATCCTGGGGATGGCTCTGCTCAGTCAGCATGCGGCTCAGGATGTCCCCTGGCATGGACAGAGGAGTAGCTGGCTGTAGGCAGACATGCCACTCACAGGCCAGACAGAGAGGGCTGTGGTGAGGGGACAGGTCTGGCCAGCATCGGCTCACCCAGGAGAGAGAGAACAGGAAATAGTACAATGGGTCTGTGTGGGCTGGAGAAGGTGAGGAATGTGAAAGCCAGGGCTGTGAGCAGGGGGAGGAACAAAGCCCAGGTGGGCAGCACCGGACCAGGCCAGCAATGCCAGGCCCTGAGCATAGCATCTCCAGCTGCCTGCACCCTCCTATCCCGGGGGCTTCATTCCTAGGAGCCCACCATCCTCCAGCACCTGGTGACACATGGGACTCTAGTCCCTCTGCTTGAGTGGCAGACATGCCATTCTGAGGCGGGTTTCCCAGTTTCCTGGCATATGCCGCCCCTGGTGGCGGGCTTGGAGCCCACTTCCTGCCCTGCCCCTCTCCATCTCCTCCCACCCTTCCTGCCCCTCCATCTCCTCCCACCCTTCTGACCCTTCTCCATCTCCTTCCACCCTGCGTGTCCTGCACTAGCTAAACTCAACTTCTCTTGCCACAACACTGCCTGCAGTGGTTCTAGAACCAGAACAGACCCCACGCTGGAATCCATCTGCTACCTCTCCCTGCTCCTCTGGCTCCCCCTGGGTTCACGGCTCTGTCCTTGCGCCCCATGCTCCCTGGTGCCTGTGGCTCTGAGCTGGGAAATAGAGTTGGTCACACTCACCCTCATGGCAGCTGCTGGGAGTGAAGTGATCCACAAGGTAACTGAAGAAGTCGTGCAGCTGCAGAGGAAGCAGGGGACCCGGCTTTAGAAACCAAGTGGGAAGGTGCAGAGAGTCCCAGACACTGCCTGAAGCTGGCAGGGTGGTGAAGGCACCACCAGGCCCTACCTGGCCCTGGTCCTGCTGCCCGGCATACTCTATGGACTGAAAGATGCTCCAGGTACAGCGCCGCCGCATTTCCAGCCGGGCCACGTAGCACCGGTACCCTCTGGATCAGGGCCGCCGCCTTGAAGGCTGTGAGCACATGAGATGTCGCCATGAGGGGATGCCCTGTGCCTGGACCCCTACTATGCCCTCCTGCTGGCTACAGGGCTCAGTTCCTGCCCACTCCTCCCGCCTCCATCCTGATGGTTCACGGGCATCTCTGGATTCTGTGGGCTGCTGCTGGCCTCTGGAGACACTGACATGGTACGAGCTCCTCCCAATCTGTGGCAGGGGGCCTGGAGCTCTGGAGTCACTCTCCCCTTTTTAAGTCAGCATGGCTGTCTTCTGGCTTGACAGATCCCCGTAGGCACATGTGAGTCGCCAGGGTTGCCACTGTAGCTCTGGCGCTACTCGGTAAGAGAAGGGCCACTGAAAATGAGCACTGTGTCCCTCAGTGGTCTGCTGAGCCAGAGGCCTGAGTGGCCAACAGCAGGGAGTGTGTGCCCAGGGCACACTGGATACCAGGAGGACTCGCGTTCTGCCAGGATAGGTGAGTCCATTATAGCAACAGAACAGCAGCACACAACTGAAAGCCCAGGGAGGATTCACTTCTGGGATTTTCCTTCTCACATTTTCAGAGTCAGTTGACCATGGGCAACAAAAAGCGTGTAGGAAGAGTTTGGAAAGGTTCAGAGATGTCACCTGAAAGAGTAGGCCTGGAATGTCCTAGGCTGATCTGAATGGTAGGTTCTGATCAGAGTTCAGAAAACCAGAAAACCAGTGAAGACCAGGCATGGAAGATTTCTGCTGGGAAGAAGGACTGCCTTGGTTGTTGGACTCCAGATAATGTGTTTTATGGCTTGGCAGAAACTTTGTCTGTACCTCCACATGCCCAGAGCAGGTAAAGAGAACCAGAAAACACGCCTCTGCCTGCTGTGTGCCGCCACCAAAAGGCCACGTCCTACAGGTGGTCACCATGGGCAGAAAGAACCAGCAGATCCACCTTCACCTTCAGGGTGCTGCCACCAGAAGACTCCTTCCTGCAGGCAGCCAGCAGGAACAGGAACACACAGCCAGGTAAGTCCTGTGCATCCGTAGGCCATCATTTGAGGCCCTTGGTTCCCTCAGATAGCTATCATCCACTAGCAGAATCAGACAAACAATCCCCTGTGTGACTGCCACCATCGTGGGAGTCCAAGTGTAGACACACAGGCTGAGAGAAGCAGCCTCACCTCCATGCACCCCTGATGGTCAGCAAAGCCCCAGAGTAGCTGCATAGCTCTAGAGAAGCCCACTCCACATCCTACTACCTCCCTGTAAATCTGGAATTAGAGGAACCCAGGTGCCTGTCCCATCCCCCTACACTGCTTAAGGGCAGGCAACGTGGGACGTGCCTGGGACCCCACAACAAGCTTGTGGGTAGGAACCCAGGAGAGTGTCAAGGTGAAGAGCAAAAGGCAAACTCAGATCTCTAAGCCCACACACAATAAGTCTGGGAGATATGGTCATGGAAGAAAACAGAAGTCCACACCTGAAATCTCTGAGAGCATAGCAACTGAAGTAAGAAAGCAACTTCACGAGATTGCAAAAGCAGTCGATCAGAAATAGTGTCTCAGGTAAAAAAAATATCACAAACATACTGAAAGAATTGTTCAGCAGGTCTAAAGAAGACATAGACAAAAAAGAGGAGCATAGGAAAATGATGGAAACCTTGAATGAATGTAGAAAGAAATTACAATGCATGAAACAGATTCAAAGAGAGATGCAGGAAACTAGAAACTCAATTGAAAGCTGGCAAAATCACTAGAAAGAGACTAAAGATAGATTTTCAAAGCTTGAGGATAGGATTGTAGCTAATGATAGTGAAAGGAAAGATCTCTTAAAAATAACACAGAATCAGGAAATAACCACTCAATGGCTGCAAGATAATGCAAAGAAGCATGATTTAGGAATGACAGGTGTCAATGAAGAAGCAGGTGTCAACACAAATGAAATTAAAAGGGTTTCACAGAAGTAATAGAAGAAAACTTCCCAAACATGGGAAATAGATCTGGAATATAGATAAGTGAGGAATATAGGACTCCAACTAGCCATAACCAAAGTAAATCTACACCCAGACATATAATAATCAAGATCCCAGAAATTCAACCCAAGAACAGAATATTAAAGCTATTAGAGAAAAGAGACAGATCACCTATAAAGGAAAACCAATCAGAATCACAGCAGACTTGTCAACACAAACCATCAAAGCAAGAAGAGTTTGGAGTGAAGTGTTTCAAACCCTGAAAGAAAACAACTTCCAACCCATATTGATCTATCCAGCAAAACTATTGTTTAAAACTGATGGGAAAATAAGATACTTCCATGATAAAGAACAACTGAAGGAATTCATGACCACCAAACCAACCCTACAAAGAGTGTTAAAGAAATTCTAGAGAGAGATAAAGATGACCATGGTTCCAGGAACAGTGGTAGAGGAGGATCGCCAAACAAGACAGGCAACTGAATGAAAGGGAAAAGTGGAGGGCCAACAGCAGGAGGATAGCATGGCAGAGACAAACCAATGTATGCTAGTTGTAACCATTAATGTAGATGGCCTCAGGTCATCAGTAAAAAGAAACACAGGGAGAGGGGACCAAGAAACAAAATCCATCAATATACTGTATTCAAGAAACACATCCTACTGGAAAGGAAATTCAAAAACTGAAAATCAAAGGAAAGAAAACAATTGTTCCATGTGACAGGAGACAAAAAAGAAAAAAAAGCAAGAGTAACTTGCCCATCAACTGCAGAATGGATAAGAAAGATATGATATTTTTATGCCATGGAAAGCTACCCAACTATAAAGTAGAATAATCTCAAGGCTCTTGTGGGTAAATGGACACAACTGGAGATCATGTGCATGGATGAAACAGTTCGAACTCATACATGTGAACCCTAGCGTAGGAAACAGAAGTAGTTAACAGGATCCAAAAGCAAAATAGTTAATGTAAAAGCAAAGGGAAGGAAATACCTGGGAGGCAAAGGTGGAAACTACTGTCAATTTGTTATTGTCTTATCTTGAATTTTTGCATTGTTTACACAACTTTGTTAGGTTTGGTTTTGTTTGTCTTATTTTGTTAGATTTTATGCTGTTAGATGGTAGGGGAAGCTATATTGAATATAATGGGATATTTCATGGTAATCATGGTTTCCTATTATAGTGCTTTGAAGTCTTATAATGCTTTCATTCATTGGTTTGATTGGTTTTATTCTGTTTTGTCTGATTGCATTATGTGTGATGGTACGAACAGCTATTTTGAAGAAAACAAGACATTATGGCAGCTATTGCTGATTTACTATTATCTTGCTTTGAAGTCCTACCATGCTTTTGTTCTTCTGTTTTGATTGGTTCTATCCTGTTGTGTTTTATTTGATTTTATTATGTGTGATGGTATAAACAAATTTTTTGAGAAAAATGAGATATTATGAGTAGCCATTATTCATTCCTGTTGTTTGGTTTTGAAACCCTGTAATGCTTTCATTCTTTTGAATGGTTATATACTATTTTGTTACATTTAATATTATTTTGTGTGAAGATATGCTCAACTATTTCAAAGAAAAGAGACATTATGGTAGCCACTATTGGTGACCGGTTGTCTTGTTGTGAAGTGATGTGTTGCTTGCATTGTTCTGTTCTGATTTGCTTTTTTCTGTTCTCTTTTGTTTTATTCTCTTTAAAAAATTTTTTAAATTTTAAAAAAAGGAAAGTTTGTTTTCATTTTGCTTATGTCCAGAGACTTTGCCTGAGACTAAGATTAAGGGTGGTGGACTAATTAATCTGGCAGAAGAAATTTCAAGGCAGTCTAATGTTGAGGCAGTGGCTACTGTTGGGGTCATTTAGCCAGACCTATGTTAAGAGTAGAGAGCAAAGAGCCCAGCAGAGTGATTTAAAACACTGTGAGTTTGGCCAGAAAGGAAGCTCCAGTATAGTTGTGGACTGCAAAGATACAGCTGAGGAAGTCCCTGTTGCTGAGAAGGAACAGGAGAATAAAAAAGATGGCCTGAAGGCATCACAAGAAGTAGCAAGCTTTCCACCTTTGCAGCCTCAAAACTGCAAAAGTGAAACACTTTGCTTTGAGGCAAAGGCTGCAGGGTACCATGTTCCAGAATAGCAGTAGCATAGGAAATTTGCTCCTCAGAATTGGATTCAGTGCCCAGCAATCTAAGCACTTGATCCTTACAGTGAAGAGAGAGGAAAGCCTGGCTACTGCCCCAGCTGGCAGCAGACCTCAGTGTCATTCACATGGTGCTGGTTTTAGGTACATACGGAATGCAAGAATTCTGAGGTTAAATAGGCTTCCACCCAATTTCAGAAGGCCTGGGAAGCCAAGTGAAGCTGTGAGTATGAAGCCAGACTTGCAGTGGAGAACCCAGAAGTCTGGAAAAGCCAGGATCATGGATCATCTAAGGAAAGCCGCAAGAAGGAAACAAAGCCATCCCAAGAGTGAAGACATGGAAGCTACAACTGCCACAAGTTCTGTGGGGGTGGAGTCACTTGAGCCTTTTGGAGCTAACAACAAGATTGCTTCAGATGCTGGAAATGGAACTCCAATGTTTGCCTCGCCAGATTTTGGACTTGCTTTGGTTCCAATGCTTTGTATCCCCCTGTGTGTAACTTTTGGATGGTAATGTTTATCTTGTGCCGTTGTATGTTGGAAGTATTTAACTTTGCTTTCATTTGTACAGGGGTTTGTAGCTGAGAGTTTGCCTTAGATTTTGGAGAAGACTTGGGATTTAGACTTTTCAGAAATGCTGAAACTGTTAGAAATTTGGCAACTCTTGGAGGTGGGCTAAATGCCTTTTACATAAAGGATGTACATGAGTCTTTGGGGTCCAAGGACAAAATGTTATGTTTCTAATGTAATATGATGTTGATAGACTTAATGCTGGTTAAGGGTTGTCAAGCTGTGTTATAATGTTCAAGTTGCAAAATATTAAGAATAAGCGTGCCTTTGTATCTGGAGACTGATTTAAAGAAATATATCTGGTTGCCAAGTTGACAAGGGGTGGATTGTTATGGTGTATACACTGTCAATTTGAGAAGTCTGGAAGCTTAACAAGGTGAATCAGCATCTCTGTATCCAGGGGTGAGGAGAACAAGCCTGTTCTGGGATACTGTCCATTGTGTCAAATTTGAGAAGTTTAACAAAGTAACTCAGCAGGGGACCAGAGTCCTTTGTGACATCCTCAGCCCATGCAAGAGGAGGGCAGCAGATGGTGT